CGGTTGGGTTCTCATCAACGCTGATATGGGTATTTGGAAGCGGGCAACGAGATAAAGCTCCGGCGTCTTGATGTTTTCTACCTGACGTGTAAGTTATGTCAAAGTCGTACTCCTACAAGCGCAGTATCCACCGACCCAAGCGTTCGGACAAGTTCTTCAGTGTAGAAAGCCAGCATAGGGCGTGATAGTTCGTAACGATTGTGAAGTGACGGCCGTGGAGATAGGGACGGAAATTCTGCACCGACCAAACCACAGCCGAACACTCTTGCTCAGTTATCGTGTAGTTCTTTTCGCCCACACTATATATATATATATATATATATATATATATATATATATATATATATATATATATATATATTATATATATATATATATATATATATATATATATATATATATATATATATATATATATATATATATATATATATATATATATATATATAATTAGGCAGTTGCCTAATTAAACGCAGTCCACTGCGTTTAATTAGGTAACTCACAGATGTACGGCCATAGGAATTAAAATTGATTCAAACTACTTTATGCTGTACACGTTCAAGTTTTCTAACATTCGGTAAAGTGAATGGGTCCCAGATGGATCCCAAACCGAATGTAGGAATTGTGGGTAAAAAAACGAAAAGTAGGTGTAGATGACTTTAATGTGCTTCTCAGAAAAACAGTTTGAGGAAGGAACTACAAACAACGGTATCAATACGCTTATTTCAAAAACCATTTTAAGTGACAGGCCCAAATTTTTGTACAGCGTTGCTTCTAATAACGGTAAACCCGTTCGCACCATATTTAAAATGAAGATATCTTCTTTGTAGGTAATTCTCATATAAACAGCTTTATCAAAATTAAATACCATTTGCCAATTTTCGCCCCATACAATGACCTTTGGCAGATCACTATTTAGGTGCCCCTGATCATCAAGTTAACATACCTTAACATATATAATACAGTTATCTGCCTAAAGTTTTACACCAACAGAAAGGTTCACCACAACGTCGTTAGTAAATTATAATAATAATAAAAGTGGTCCTAAAACCGACCCCTGGGGGACAGCAGAAACAACGTCAAGACATTAAGGAGAAGCATTGCTTAAGGTGACGAATTAGCATCTGTCGGATAGGCAGGCAGTAATCAAAGCAAGTATCTGATCGTTTTTAATGTAACAACTTGATCTGTAAATTAATTAATTATGTAACATGTAGTTCAATGCCGTGCAGAAATCCATAATTAGAGTGTCTGTTTGTGTTCCTTCAATAATCGACTGGGTGAAATCATGCACGGTTTCAACTGATGGAGAACTCGTAGAAAATCTCCGCCTAAAACTATGTCATACATCCACGAGTACTTCGTGCTCTTCCAAGAAACCTACTATATGTTTATGAATTATATGTTCTAAAATTTTCATGACGTCGAAGTTAGTGAATTCGGGTCTGTAGTTCTCGATGTGTGATTTTTGCCCGATTCATGCAAAGGTTTGATTTAGGCTGTTCTTCACTCATCCGGTAAGGAACCATAGCTTAATGATCTGGTGAACACAACATACAAGTCCTTAGCACACCATTCAGCATAGCGCTTCAAAAACGCATTTGGTTTTTCATCGGGTGCCGATGACTGTAATATTAAGATCTGAGAGCAAATTACACACGCCAATTTCAGAAGTAAAATCATCGGATATACAAGAGAGCGATACAGAAGAATCGGGAATGCAACCATTAACCTTTGTGAATACCAATTCGAAAAGTTTTATGAAAGCGGAAAAGATGATGGTGTCTTTTCTTACAGGATCATCATCTATCATGAATTCTGTAGTGACCGAAGATTTAGGCGTTAAATGGCGCCAGAACCTCTCTCGAAGCGTTTGAATGAATGAAGGCAAGGTAGTACCATAAGATTTTTTCTTCTCAAAACTATTTTCTTCTTTAGTTGTTTAGAAGTTTCGTCGACTTTAGACTCCAACGCATTATTTGTTCCTGATTTCGTTTTCAAGCTTTTGAATCGTCGTTGAAGTCATATCGCCTCCCTGGAAATCCATAGGCTTCGTTGCACAAATTCGTTCACAAAATTTGGCAAAACATGTTGTGTACACGCAGAGACAATGTCTTTAAAAGAAGGCCATAAGTAATTCACAGTACAAGTACTGTTTTGAAAATCATCGAAGTAGAAATCTAGCATAACTATAATAGATTCGTCATCAGCAGGGGAAAATTAGGAAATAATGTATAGCGTTCTGGCGGTAAAAATGGACATTCGACAAAGACAACAGGACAGCTTTATGGTCAGAATTGCCGTTAGTAACTTCACAGGTTATCTGATTTCTAATGGCACCACTTCCACAAAAGAAGTCCATGTTGGTCCTCCAATCGCATGCATTCTCGTGGATTAATGAAACATTTTTACCAACTCGAATGTTAATAAGACGACCAACATTGTGTTGCCATCAACATTGAACGAAAGTGATATGAAGCTCAGCAAATCAACGTCATAAGTAAATTGAAGTCCCCTGCTATGGTTAGGCGATTATTTGTTCTTATATGACATTGTAAGTATTCCTCAAAGTTTTTAAGTATACCGCTGCAGAACAGCAGGGAGGTCTAAAAAAAACTCCAAGTACAAAGCCTACTTTGTTTATATGTACTTTACAGAAGACAGCTTCAATGTATAGTGCATCAGGCATTCTGAAAAGTTAGATGTTAGAAGAAAGACAATTTAGATTAGAAGAAGGACGAGTGATATGTTAGTTAGAAGAACGATTTAAGCAGAATGGCCACACCTCCACGTTTTCTATCGTTGTCGCCGCGAAAGACCTTGTAGCCATGAGGGGCAAATTCACTATAAGATCTTTCGCTATTCAGCCATGTCTCTATAAACATGGCAATGTTCGCGACAGATAACAGCATGCCCTCAAGTTCTACAGCTTTATTAACGCTACAGTAGTATATGTTAAGGATCTTGAATACGTGATTACTATTATTCTGGTGTCATTTGTGGCTCTTTGACAACTCATACCGCTTATTTTTTGTTGTATCTCACCCACGTATGTCACCGTTAACGTTTAACTTATTGAAAACCAGCTTAACTTTAGCACCGTTAATCTTTTCCTGTGACGCGCTTTCCCATACTTTCTTCCTGATGTCACGAATTCTTCTCGAGTAGTCTTCGCTGACTGACAATTTTGAATCTAAACTTTAGGCACGCTTTCATTATCGCGGTCTCCTCTCAGTAGTCCAGTAATTTTATAATGTACGGACGATCCCTGTCTTACTTTCTACCTATTCGGTGGCGCATTTTAATTCTGTTTGTCGTAATCCCTAGCCTGCGCAAAACATCTTTTTTTTTTTTTTGTCTGTGAGCTCGGCTCCTGTTTCCTTCTCGTCTTATTTTATACTATAAATAGCCAAGTTGTTCCTAAAGCTTCTGTTTACTAAATCGTCAGTTTTAGTTAACAGATGCGAATACAGTGGTGGCAAGCAGCAGCAGCGGCCGCAGCAGCAGCAGCGGCGGCGGCTGCGGCGGTGGTGGCGGCAGCAGCAGCAGCAGCAGCAGCAGCAGCAGCAGCAACAGCAGCAGCAGCAGCATCAGCAGCAAAAAGCGGTCGTCGCTGCGATAGCAGTAGGCCTGCATGTAATCACTAACCTGCGCAATTAAGCAAAATGGGTTCCTGAGCAATGTGCTTGCGATGCTGCTGCAAAGCCCACTGCTCTCAGGTGGCGAGGGCAGGCCTCTTATAAAGGTGATAGTGTCCTCGTGCTGTGACGAGGCTCTCGATGGCGCAGTCGCTGGCATGTTGATGAAAGGTACGATCAGTTTCTTGATTAAGCAAAGATTGCTCTTTACTCCACTCTCGAAGCCTACATCGTGTGCCTGTTTAAAGGTGTATGGCTCAGTTTATGCCAAAGGTAGAGTTGCGTGGGCAGACAGATGGCTTGAACGTGCGTAATGAAGCAAAATGAGATCCAGAGAATTGTGCTTGTGATGCTGCTGCAAAGTGGACTCTGCTGCAAAGCTCATCATCTGAAAAGCGTGAGCGAAGTGATAACTGATGGCCATCACGTTTAGATACACCTCTTAACTCAGTTATTGGACACCACGTCCTTTTCGTGTTTGAGCGAGCTTCACTAAATTTCTCCCGTACGTGCTTCCGCATTCCTTATACTTCTCTAGGCAACATAGTCTATTATTTTTTATTATTGCTACGTCCAGCAACTTGTAATTCATTCGCTCAGGCTATGTTGTTCTGATTGTAAGATGTATTTCACTGTGGGTAAGGAATTCATGTGGTCTACCACAACCTCAAGAAGACCTTGCATCTTTTGACAGAACCCACTGTAATAAATCGACTAATACGAGTATAGCTTTCTATACTAGTCATAATGGAAAAGAGCGAGACATGAAGGAGACGAGAAAGACCAAGAGAGACGAGCGCTCGTCTTCGTTGTCTCACGCTGTTTTACACAGTGATATGTATTAACAAGGTCGAGTTCGCACGCTTTACTAGTGTCTCTTCACTTTCGAAGACATGACAACACAATAAAAATCGACATTTTACTGCCTTCCGATCAAGGAGAAAATGATGTAGGCCCGTGTGCTCATGTTTGGGTGCATTTTAAAAAAACCCAGGTGGTCGAAATTTCCGGAGCCCTCCACTACGGCGTCTCTAATAATCATATGGTGATTTGGGACGTTAAACCACACACCTACCTTTTACTGCCTATTTCGCGTGTCGTCTTAACTTTTCTGCACGTGCTATGAAAAACATCAAGTGAGAGCATTTTATTTTCGTTTCTTTGACCTGCCTAAGACGTGGTGTATAGCTAGTCATGGAAGCATGTGGTTCTCGCATCGGTTTTCGGTTGAAATAGTGCAAAAGATAAGTGTACAGCTTTCATGGTCCTTTTTGTCTGATCTCCTGCTTAATGTTCACAATATGCAAGGTCTGTACATTGTTGTTGTGTGTGTAGCTGAGAAAGAGCATTATGTTTCGGCAGGCATCAACCATGGACCCATTACTTCTGGCGTGATTGGTGCCCGCAAGCCACATTTCGACATATGGGGAAACACGGTGAATGTTGCCAGTCGCATGGAAAGCACCGGAAAGGCTGGAAATATCCAGGCAAGTTTGCAAGTAATAAGACATGGTGAATGTTGCCAGCCGTATTTAAAGCACTGAAAAGGCGAGAAACATACAGGCTCGTTGGCGAGTAATAGCCGTAAATTTGATACTTAGTATAGAAAGATTTAAAAACACCAGTATTTGGGCGGGTGCTAGAAGAGAATACGGTGCATGCTGAACTCAGTGATCTTAACAGTGGTGTCCAACGCATAAAAATAGCATCAACTCCATAAGTGTAACAAAAGTTACGCCGAATGTAACACGTGAAGCTGCGTGCTTGGTAGTATTGCATTAAGTTATAGAATGGTATGCCTATGTTATTTACCCATGTCATTCGTTCGCGTCACGTAATATTGAGTTACGTACATGTGAAGCTAGCGAAACGACCGCGAGCGCATCACGAGCGCAGCATGTAGTCATGTTCTTACATGTCACGCATCTCATGATTATCATGTATGCACCACACATAGGTTTTTCGTCCATTCATGTACTGTATACCAAATTTGGTATATGTGACGCTAGCGAAACGGCCACGAGTGCATCATGAGCGTGCATGTAGGCATGTTGGTACAAGACATGCATGTCATGATTTTTAAGTTAGGGTTTGTCACTTGTCTTCCCCATGCAATCATGTCATACCATACCACTTCTGCAACATGCCATGGAAACGAAGCTACCACAAGAGCTGCAGGACCATGAAATGTATATAATGACAATCATGACATACATGTCGTAATTTTCATGTTATGAATAGTCATATATGTTCTTTGTACAGCCTTGTTATGCCATACCAAGTTTGGTATCGATACCCTTGTCAAAACGGCCACGACAGCTAAATGTCGTAGATAGATAGATAGATAGATAGATAGATAGATAGATAGATAGATAGATAGATAGATAGATAGATAGATAGATAGATAGATAGATAGATAGATAGATAGATAGATAGATAGATAGATAGATACGCTCAATGTTGCCGAAGTTTGCTAAGAAATGCTTTGCATTTAAAAAGAAACTCCATGCTCACAATTATTTAGAAAGTACGGGTAGTGACAGCAGCCTAATAATTGGCAATCCAGCTGGAGCCTCAAAAGTCTGTTTGTTCGGCTTCAGACCAAAGAACGGGCAAGTATATTGAGGATGACTGATGGCTTGGACAAATCTAACAGTGTATCATTGCGTGAAAGTCTGTCAGAGGCTCTGCATTAAAAATATTTTCACGTGGTCATGCCCTCAAATGACGACAGCAGACAGCGTGTCAAAACGAAACGTTTTATTCTGGCACATTTATTGCTGGTAGAAGAAAAGTCAAAGTGGAGGCAAAACACACGTTGCACGCTCATAGCGGCGATAACAGCGTCAGCTGTCGGTAATCAGATTATCGGTAAAGCGCGTCGCCTTTTATGCATCAATCATAGCCTCATCGAGTCAATTGCTTGACTCCATTGTATCTTTTGGTTATATATACAACGAACCTTCACACGAGCGAATATTCCATCTGTGCCACTGGAGCATCACCCACAGTCATTTCTAACACTTCTGTGTTATCATGCTCTCTCGCTTAGGCTTTCAAATAAACTTGGCTATTTGTGTCCTAAGCGTATTTTTAGGAAAATAATATAAAAAAACATTTGCGAAGCTTTTGGAAAGTTGAGGCCAGGTCTGCGACGTTGATTTCTCACAGTTTTTGTCCATAAAACTTGAATACTTGAAAAAGTGCCCCCGTATCTGCATGTATCACTGCAAATGTCTTTGAAAGACGATAGTCTTTCGTGTGGAGAGAGATAAAAACGTTTATTTACTATTCTGTGCGATAAAATCGGTGAATTGTATTCTGGAAGCGCTGCAGTTAGAGAGTCTCGATGCGTGCAGCGAAGACAAACGAGCCCATCGAGGCACGTCAGACACGAGCGCCATCTGGCAGTTATCTTCGAAAACAAAGGAAGGCGTGCGCTCCCGCGGAGAAAGATGCGCGCCTGTCTCGGAGGCGATAAGGTGTAGAACGGAAAGCGACGGGCAGGTGCCACCACTGTGTCGTCTTAGCAAAGCGTTGGAAGCACTTGCCTTTTTGAGCATCGTGTTGCATTTTCAGCGCAGCGTAAAAAACGCTACGATCCTTAGAATTTCTTGAGTGTGCTTTATCTAGTAAAAAGGCACACGTACAAAACATCGAAGTGCTGTTATGGTGCCTCAGATATGCGCAATATTTGCTTTCTTAATTGAAAATCGCACAAGTATGAACGCTAAAACTTGAGAAATATTGGTGGGCGTGCGGGTGGGGTTGGCTGTTTGAGATATTGTTTGGTGCCGTTAGAAAAAGTCATTCCCACGGACAAACAGACAAAAGTACAAGCGGACAGACAGACAGTCAGAAAGACAGATGAACTAAATTTTTGGTGTCGAAGGTCCCCAAGAAAGACTATCGTCTTTAAAAATGATTACCGTCCAAGCACTCTGTACATAAAGTTTGGCCAGTGAAAGTTCAAACGTGCCCCGCCGCGGTGGTCTAGTGGCTAAGGTACTCGGCTGCTGACCCGCAGGGCGCGGGTTCGTATCCCGGCTGCGGCGGCTGCATTTCCGATGGAGGCGGAAATGTTGTAGGCCCGTGTGCTCACATTTGGGTGCACGTTAAAGAACCCCAGGTGGTCTAAATTTCCGGAGCCCTCCACTACGGCGTCTCTCATAATCATATAGTGGTTTTGGGACGTTAAACCCCACATATCAATCAATCAATCAAGTTCAAACGTGCGGCCCCGGTGTCTAGCAGTGGTTTCAACCGAACGCTGCACTGAAACGATTCACAATTACTGGTTTGTGCTTCGTAATAAGGTTAGACACGCGCTTGGCTTCAGTTTACCACAGTTGGTTACAGACATCGCACTCAAAACCTAAGTTCCGCTGGAGAAACTACCACCAAAAGTGGGCGTTTACCTCGGCGAAAGTGCTCTCGCGATCATTATGATGGCGCTGTTGTGCTTGCAACCATACCCGCAAGGCCCCTTGTTTGACGCGCCGTTGTCGCAAGCGTTTGACATCGCGAGCTAACAAGGTAGCGTGGTTTGGAGGATCCGCCCGCCACTGGTGCTTGCATTCCCGTTCGCAATTCTGCGCCTTGGAAGCCTGCCGGATCATTGGTGCGCATTTTCTGCTGGCATTCAGTCTCCCGGGCCTTTTTTTTTTTTTTGCCCGGACAGAAAATTACCCTTGCGAATGCGATCTCTCTTACGTTTTCATGGTCGGCGCTTCAGTAGAGGCGCTGCTGTTTGATAGTTCTTAGGATACGTGGCTTACCCACGTGGAAGAACTTAGTAGAAATTGATGCGCGTACTCGGCCCCATGGCTGTGACAAGATAGACAACGTTACTGACACAACAGCCCATGGCGGACATGCTTAGGTACGACGCTGAGAACGACGTAACTGATAGCACAGCCAATGGAGACCGCTCGTGACAGCGATCTCGAATGTTTTTCATTTGTCTTAGCAATATGAAGTAAAAAAACGCGCATAGCGATGCCCCTCCTTTGTAGAAAACCATCGCGGCAACGATAATATAGAACAGGGAAGTGAGAAAAAAAAACATGACTAATCCGTCTGTCGTAGAAAGTGGTGTAGCACGAAAGGAAAACGTGTTTGCACAGTGGTATTTCACAGAGTGTTTTATATCAATCGTTCTGCATCTTTTCGCCAAAAGGTGTAATTAACCATTGTTATAGCAACAAATTGTAACATAACGTGAAAAAGTCAAGCAGCTTGGAACTTGCAGCACTCCCGAAGCAGAAAGGACGCACGAAAATAACGTATGCAGGACGAGTGAGAACTAACGACTGTCACAGCTCGACCTTTAAAGCGCGCTGCTCCGACACAAAGAAGGGCGAACGAAGCGAATTCTGAAGCATGCCCAGGACGAACGCGAACAGCTTTCACAATCATTATTTTTTGTATGTTAGCCGTGTGCTACTTTCATTTTATTTTTATTTCATTATTTTGGGCATTTTTACAATATTTCCACTATAAGGGGGCAAAAGAGTGTCTCCTTGCTTGGTCTACTCTTCGTGAGTCACCTCAAGCATACAGCATAACAATACATAAAATATTCAATAACATACATACAAATCACAAACAGACGAGGAACACTACAATTGAAAAAATATCAGTTAAATATTCAAACAAAGGTACTAAACATCACAAGCGCTTCGCTGTGTACACCCAAACGCTTGTGGTGTACACTTCTTGTTCTGTGTCTTTTTCGCGCTACATTTACGCCATAATGAATCACTTCCAACTAAGCACTTGTGGTGTACACATTCTTGTCGGTGTCTTTTGCCCGCAACAATTACGCAATTATAGATCAGTACCAGCTCACTCGCCTCTTCGTATTGCTTCATATCATAAAAAACTAGCTGTAATAAAAAGCAATATTTACAATAATATAACATATACATTACCCACCCTCGGTCCTTGCGCCTACCAGTGGGTTTAGATTATTACATTCGTAATTTGCTTGCGAAATTGTGTAATGTTTTTAGTCTTCGCAGCGTGTTCAGTTACTTCTGGAATGTTGCTGCATAATAGAACGATTTGGTTATCAATTGAATGTACACCATAGTCCGTCCGACACGATGGCCCCACCAATGCCACAGCACGCAGGTTATATGTAACATCTCTGCTTCAATACCTATCAGAAAAACTCCGAAATTCATTTTTAATTTTGTTATTGATTAACATGGCTAGTTGTACCCAATAGCACTCTGGGAATGGTGGCACGTTACACACACACAAAAAAAACGCATTTGTGGGGACCGAGGTAGTTGCAGACATTGTGCACTTTTTTGGAGAAAAATAACACTTCCACTATTTTTTGTTACACGTACCCCAGACTCGAATACATGATTTGCCAGTGAACAAAAGAAAAGTACACCTGCCGTTTAATTTTCCCTTGAAGTAGAGGATGCAAGCGTCAAATTAAACCAATCAACCTTGATATCATTTTTAGGTTATC